TAGATGGGTAGGAAATTTGCTGGTCGTCTAGTCAAGACTTTTCATTTTACAAACATGGAAGCAGACCCAGAGAAAAGTGAGTCATCCAGAGTCCACACAGTGCCAGAGCTGGGCCAGAAGCCCTGCACCCCGTCCACTCCTCTTTCCACGGCACCTCATTTTCATTTCTCTTTTGATTTTGTTTAATTTCATGTTTCACTGAAAAACTTACAGCTTTGTGTCTGTTATAGTAAGCTTCCCTCTTTTTGGTATAGGTGCATTAATAAATGGATTAGAGAAAAGAGGTGTCTCATAAATCTCCTGCTTCTTATGAATTATGCACACCATTTACATCCTTGAGCATTAATTGTTCCACCTAGTTTTGAGTGCTGCCTGATAACAAAATGTTAGGAAACGAAGTCTGACAACGTGTAAAAAGGCACATATATTATGATCAAGTGGAGGTTATCCTAGAAATTCAAGATTGGTTTAACATTCAAAAATAAATCAATGTTATTTTCCTTATTCAAACACTTTTTTAAAAAAGAAAAACTGTGATTATCTCAATAGATGTGCCGGGGTCCAACCCCAGCAGGTCCAGGGGTCCCCAAAGGTGTGGACGGAGTCGGCGAAGAAGGAATGACACGGAGACAGAGTTCAGTTGATCAGCAGCCTAGCCAGGATCTCTAGCCAGGATCTCCAGCCAAGTTCTGGTCTGGATCTCCAGCAAAGTTCTGCTGTTTATTGTCTTGTTACATCCGTATTTATACCAGTTGATTTTAATCCTGTCAATTTCTATTACAAAGGTTAGGGCGTTTCTTATCTCCATTCCAGGGAGTAAAGATTATGTAGCTTAAGCATGATTGTTTGTAGTTAAAGTGATTAACTACCCGCCTGGCACTTAGTTAAGGAGTTTCATCCCCTCCCTAACTTCAGGGAAAAATCCCTACCTGGGGAAACAACCTTTCTCGGAGAGGTGACCTTGGTTAAAACACACAGCGCTAAGGGGAGCAAACATATTAAGAACAGTATGCTATATACGCCAGGTCCCTTGAAACATATGCTGTGCAGATGTTTCTATCCTGCAGCGACTGTGTCAAGCAGCAAGGATGGGCCGGCTTCCGGCAAATTCCCCCTTTTTTATTTTTTAAATGATAGTGCATGCAAATCAGTGGCCACCTCTCAGATTGGGCCGTTTAAAACTCGGAAGAAGACTGGCAAGCAATGACAGTGAGCATAACTATAAACATAGTGGATGGAGTGCACAAGGAGCCCCATTCTTGTAGAAGGTTGCCAGCCTCTTCAGTCAAGGGATTACAGCTGTCCTCAAGTTGTTGGTTTGATTGTCTTTGTTGGTCTGGCTGGCAGGCGGCATCACTGGTGACGGGCTTCCCTAAGCGTCAGCGAGTTGAAGGGCTGCATCAAAGGGTCCATCAGGGCCGTGGTTGATGGTGGTGTTGGTGTCCGAGGAGGAGTAAGCTGTGCCCTCTGGGTCAGCTGATATGGAAGATGGAGGGTAGTAGAGAGAAAAAGAAGAGAAAGCAAAAGAACTACAAGGCATGGAAGTGTTTAGAAAAAAGAGGGAGAAGAAAGGGAAGAAGGCAGCATCCTGACACAGCCTTTTCCTTCAGCTGACCCTTTCCCCGTGGTCCAAGGTAGAAATGGGAAACAAGTCCTGTTGCAGTGAGAGGGCAGCTGCTGTCAGCCAGTCTCTGTCTTTACCTGGGTCCCGATCTGAGCTGGGCGTGGGAAGCGGGAAGCAGCCATGGGGACAGGAGACCTTCCTCAGAAGGGGCGAGTGTTCAAGCCCCTGAACCATTGGGGGGGTGAGGATCTGTGCCCCACCTCTGTTGAACCCCAAGTTCTCTCCTACTGGCCTGCGACTGTGCCTGTCTTAGGTTGCCCCACCCTGTGGGGTCTTACCCATCTTTGACTACCAGCCATCTCTGGGCCAAGTAGGGTGATGTGAGGTTCAGTTCTGTCTCCTTGGTAGCCTATGTCCCTCTGGCCTCCATGCCCAGCAACTGCCTTGGGATCCCCTTGCCTGCTGGCGGGGCCCCGGCATTGATCACATATCTTGGGGAACCCAGGTTTCTTCTCCAGGGAGGGCCCAGCTCACGCTATTGGGTGAGAGACAGATCCATGGTACCAGCCACCATGAGGCTTCAACCTCAGCATGAACAGAGGTTGGTCCCTGTTCCCTGCCCCTGTGCCCAGGCAATAGCTATGGGCAATTGGATTGTAAGAAGAGGGTCCCTCTTGGCACAAGGGTAAGAGGGGCCAATACAGGACAAAGGAGAGTCCCGGAACAGGGCTTTCTCAGCCCAGGATGTAAGGCTCTTGGCACAAGACAACTCCATGTATGGGGCATATACCAAGCATCCCTAGTCACGGCATAAAAGGGAGGTGCCCTTCCTGGAACAGTAGGGTAGGGAGATTCATAGATGCAGAAAAAGTATTTGTCAGAATCCAGCATCCATTCCGATTTTTTAAATAAACTCCCAGCAAATTAGGAATAGAAAGAAATTTCCTCAACTCAGTAGGGACATCTATGAAATACCTAAAGCTACCATCATAAATAACAATGAAAGGCGGAATCCATTTCCCCTGACATCAGGAACAAGGCAAGGATATTTGCTCATACCACTTACAGTTTAAACTGTACTAGAGGTACAGTGCAGTACCAGTACATCTAGCCAATGCAGTAAGGCAAGAAAGTACCTTGAAATCATCCAGATTGGAAAGGAAATAAAATGTCTTCATTTACAGACAACATAATCTACATAGAACATCTATAGAATCTACCACAAAAAGATTATGAAAACTAATAAGCACCAGCCAGTGTGGCTCAGTGGTTAAGCATTGACCTATGGACCAGGAGATTATGGTTCAATTCCCAGTCAGGGTTGCGGCCTCGATCCCCAGTGGGGGGCTTGCAGGAGGCACCCAGTCAATGTCTCCCTCTCCCCCTCTTACTTCATCTCTCTCTGAAAATCAATAAAAAATCTTTTTCTTTAAAGTTAGACTTACACATACCAAATAATCTTTCATTCTACCCCTAGATATTTACACAAGAGGAATGAAAGGATATGGTCATATAAAGATTTAAACACTAATCTATAGCAGCTTTATTTGTAACTAGAGGTCCAGTGCACGAAATTTGTGCAGGGGGAGGGGGGTCCCTCAGCCCGGCCTGCACCCTCTCCAATCTGGGACCCCTCAGGGGATGTCTGACTGCCTCTTGCAATCCATGACCACTGGCTCCTAACCACTCACCTGCCTGATCACCCCTAACCCCTCCCCTCTGCCTGCCTGCCTGATTGCCCTAACCACCTCTGCCTCGCCCCGCATCTGGGACCCATGATTCCCTCCTCCGGCCGGTCGCAGGCACCTGGGACCCCAGGCTTCCCTCCCTCTGGCCGGCCGCAGGTACCCAGGACCTGGACTGGCTTCGCCTGGGCCAGCCACAGCCACAGGGGACCATGGGCAGGTGGCTTCACTCAGGCCACAGGTACCCAGGACCACAGGGCAGGCGGCCTGTCCCTCTCCCGGGCCACAGCCCCAGCCACTGGTGCTCGGGACCGTGGGGCGGGCGGCTTGTCCCTCTCCCAGGCCGCAGCCTAGCTGGTCCCCATCCCTCTCTCCCCAGTGTTGAGTGTCTGAGCCATTACGGCCTGAGGGCGTGATGACCATTTGCATATTAGGTCTTTATTCTACAGGATAGCCAAAAACTGGGAGCACCCAAATATCCACCAGTAAGTAGATAAATGGATAAAAAATTGCACTATGTCCATACAATAGAACACTTCTCGTCGATAAAGGAACACACAATTGATGCATACAACATGGATGAATCACAAAATATCTATACATCATAAAGCCAGAATTAAAAGGATACAATCTGTATGATTCCATTTATATAAAATATAGAAAATGACAACTAATATGTAGTGTCAGAGCAGACCTGTGGTTTCAGGGGCTGGGATACAGAGAGGTGCAAGGGAGGGATTATTAAGGACATAAAGAGATCGTTGTTGATGAAGGATGTGTTCATTGTCTTGATTACCAAAATATATCAAACTGCACACTATAAATATATGCAGTTCATTGTATATTAGAGCTGTTAAAAAAATAAATAAGCATAAAACCACAAAGAAAATAAGACTCATTGTTGGAATTCATACCAGTAGTAAACATTACTGAAAAACTACGTTATGTAAATTAAGTACAGATACTATTGTTTTAAATATGTCAGTGGACACTTTTTAAAGCAAAGAATCTTTTTTCTTTGTAAAAGTGATCTTCACTGTTGAATACATCTTTGCTATGACTCCTGTTGTGATATGTTGTAAGACCTTAAAGAGGATGTGCACCGAATCTGCAGATAATGGCAGCTCCATTCCATTTCTTTTCAAGAGCTTTTCATGAGCAACAGTGGCATTGTGTTGGTTGTGCTTTGTCTTACAGTGGCCAAGGGCAATTGCAATAGCTGGGTACATCTACTGTTAATACACACACTGCTTAGATCCCTTGTTAAATTGTGTATTGTGATTAAATATTTGGTATCTTAACCAAATTTCAACTTAGCAACTTACATGTATTTAAATCAAGAGAGCATTACACATACTTCAAAAATGATTCATTTCCTCTTAACACAAAGCTCAAATGAATACTTGAATTGGGACTGTGTATACATGAAAGTTTCTTTTCAGTCAGCCAAAAATCAAAACTACCAAGTTTTAAAGTATGTATGCGTTTTAAATGTTTTGGGTGTTCCATTAAAGATCTGGCTTCATTTCCATGGGGTAAAAGGACGCAGTAAATGGAAACGGTAAAGTCAGCCAGAAAATCCGACTCTCCAATATGTTTTCTGAGCTCATTGTGCTGAGCATGGAAATGCTAATGAGCAATTCTGCCCCTTTCTGCCTGGCTCATGGCAATGAGACTCAGGAACCATGAAGTTCTTCCTCACCTTCTCTCTGTGACTCAGATAGAGGTGACCCGGCCTCTCTTTCTTTCAGGGTCTGAACGGCATGTCTGTGGATGAGAAGCCTGACTCCCCCATGTATGTGTATGAGTCCACAGTCCACTGCACCAACATCCTCCTGGGCCTCAATGACCAGCGGAAAAAGGATATTCTCTGTGACGTGACTCTGATTGTGGAGAGGAAGGAGTTCCGGGCCCACCGGGCTGTGCTGGCTGCGTGCAGTGAATACTTCTGGCAGGCGCTGGTCGGACAGACGAAAAATGACTTGGTGGTCAGCTTGCCGGAGGAGGTACAGTAGTTTGGTTTGATTGTGTGTGTTGCTAATGGAGAAATATTGGCTTGTAGACAGTTGGCTGGATGGGAGCTAGAAGGTGGACCCTGTGCCACATCCCCACTCAGGGGCTGATGTCCAAGTCACCCACATGTTAGGTTTATGTCATAGCCAGTTTCTATTTGATGCCTTTAAAGTCTCAGAGGCACGAATCTGAACAGAGCATCTTTCTTGAAGGGAACCGAACCCCACCTGTGGCTCACAGCCACTCAGTTTCTGGTTCACTGACTCTTCAGGTTTTGAGTAGTTCACAGCCGAAGTTTGGTACAGTCCTCGATGTGGGATCTGAATCACTGGGACTGTTGCTATGATTTTTCTGTTTCAAATGATTGAAGGAGCACTTGAGTTCCCCTGAGAGCTGAAGAACGAGAGTATTCACAGCACCGTTCTTGCTTGGGGAAAAAGTAAAAAGCAAGCTGAAATTTTGACAGTTAATATAGGATGATTCTAAGAAGTGCAAACTTGCTTTTCTCACCATTGTTGAAAATACCCTACTCAGGTTTCTTAATTACTTCAGTAAATTGAGTCATTTCAGTCTATTGAGGACACTGGTGCCTGGACCTGATCTGTCCAGAGATGACATTCAATTGGATGGTTTGAGCTGCAGGAATTCAAATGATGGGCTTCACAATAATGACAAACCACTAAATTGGCCACCCTTTGAACTGTGCATACAATGTCTCTTCTTCCATCATCCTCATTCCCCTTCATTTTCATGGGACCACGGATAACACTGAGCAGCCTTGGTCTTTGTGTTCAGGGCCAGAATCACTCCCTGTGCACCAGCACAGTGCACAACACCACGGCCACCACCACCACTGCACAGCTCCCAGGGGTGAAGCTCACATCCACAGTCTCCCCCAGAGTTGAGCAGTAATCCACTGAGCAGCTCTTCACGGCAACCCTAGGAGAAACCAAAGATCCCACCACCCTGATGTGGGGTTCTGATGAGGACCACTGGCATTAAATCCCAGGGTCATAGACCCCAATGCCTCCAGAGCCCTGATCATACAAATGAGTAAAGAGGCTATGTATAAGGCAACAGGAAGTGGTGGGGCAAGAAAGGCATCTAAATTCAACATAAAATAAAAACAAATAGCCAGACAAGTAAGACATGGGAGTCAGAGAGGATCAGCAAATCCAGTCCCTTGTTAAGCAGCATCTGCCGTGAGTCCTGCAGAACGGGAGAGTGGCCACCTGATAAAGTGAGAACTCACAAAAAGTCTCCTTACTCCTCCTCACAGCACTTACAAATAGGTAACTAGAATGATCCCAAAACTAGAAGCCGAAGGACAAATCAGTTGAAGGTGATATAATTGGGGCTGGGGTAGCTTACGTACCAAGTAATGTGGGAAGGCCAAGGAACGGCAGCTCTGGTGTGACTGGGTGATTGGAGCTGGATTTTCCTCATCTGCAAGAGTGGGCGAGTACCCATTATTCCGTGGGATGATGAGTATGAAAGTTCTCAGCATGGTCCCTATCCCACAGTAAATATCTGTCAAATGTAAAACCCTTTGTTCTCTAGGTGAGAAGCAAGAATGCCTTTCAAATTTATTCCTACTCTGGAATTCCCTGGCAATATTTGGAAAGCGTTTATTTATCCAAAATGGTCTTAGGGGGAGGGGTGTGAGGATTATAGTTCATTTATTACCTGTATCTCTTTGAGAGCCACCTCATTTGTATGTTTTTTTTTTCCACTGATTTAAAAAAAATTAAAATATATTTGTAAATGGCCCAGCCAGCGTGGCTTAGTGGTTGAGTATCGACCTATGAACCGGGAGGTCACAGTTCAATTACTGGTCAGGGCATATGCCTGGTTGCTGGCTTGATTCCCAGTGTGGGGCATGCAAGAGGCAGCCAATCAATGATTCTCTCCCATCATTGATGTTTCTATCTCTCTTTCCCTCTCCCTTCCTCTCTGAAATCAATTGATATATATATATACATACACACGTATATATGTATTTACAGGTGCAAATCATGTTTTATGTAATCTGCCTCTCTTCAGTGTCTGCTGGCCCCATTTTGAGCCTCCCTGGACCATGTGCCGGAAGCCCTGCCTGCCTGGTTACCTCTGGGAGTCTGATCTAGGCACTAAACCTCTGTGAGCCCCAGTTCTTATCTGTAAAAGCCCCTAAAATTCTGATGTCTTTGAATTATTTATCATAATATGATGCCAAGTCAGTAAAGTTTAAAGGAAACCGAGATATAAATGCACACAGCTGTAACCTGAAAGTTTCTTTTTAGATCAAAGCCCTGACAGTATCTTATTTCCTTGGCATGGGGCACTCTTTAAAGTAAGAGGCACACTGTGTAATCACACAAAAACCTGCTATTTGACCTTTATGATTGATTGTGTTCCAGTTAAGTGGGAATATGCGATGTATTGATTTTCTTTCTTCCTAGCCATGTAAAATGATTGCTGTCCCTATATTGTCTGTATTTCCAAACCATGATAGCATTCTGGCTGCTCAAGTACCTGAAACCTTCATACATAACTAGATACTTCTTTCTTCCTGTGAAACATGAATTCCTATTGTCTGTAACCCAGCTCTAAGTATCTTGCTGATGGGGCGTGGGAGCCAGCCCCAGTGGCATTTTCCTTTGTGGGTCTGTCATTGTTTCTGAAGCCTCCTTCCAGGAGTCCCGCCCCCCTGCTCAGGACACCCCTCCTGTGGCCCCCAGCACTGGGCATTGTTTTCTTCTCCTTGCTGTGTACACACTGAAATGTCCTTGCAGGCTCTGTGGTCATTGTACCTCCTAGTTCAGTGAATGACTTCATAGAATTTGAATTAAGTGGTGAGCAACAAGAAATCCCAAACACTACCTTGGAAAGTAGCTGCCTGGAACTAACTGGCATTTGGTTCATATGATGTAAGATAAAGCATGTGATTAGCCCCTTGGAAATCTTTGAACCTCATCATCATTCTCTCACTGAATTCAAATCAGCTTCTGGCCCTGTTCCAGTCTTGTTCACACTTGGCCCACCTCTACACTCCCCGGCCAGACAGCCGTTGTATTTCCCAGGGGCCAGCAGGACCGAGTCTGAAAGCTCCTCCTCGGACTAAGAAACTTCCAGATACAGACTGCTACCACCCCTGCTCGGTCAGTTTAGGCCAAACCCAGCTCTGCTTCCAGCTGCTGTCCAATTGTACATTTCTACCCCCAAATCCTGAGTATTGATGGGCAATGCGATTACCAGCAAATTAGAGCCACAGTGCTGGTATAACCTCTTAACTGGAAGGGGGAGAGACAAAACTAGAGACCTCCTTCCAGAAGCCAAGAAGTCATTAAACTCTCTTGCTTTCTTCCCCCTAAAATGGAATGGCAGATAGTCCCTAGAAGTTATATGAGTTGAGTGTTGGCTCCCCGTTAAAAAACACTCAGGAATGTGTGTCAGCCAACAGTGGAAGAGAAGACATTATACTTAGTACTTTCATTAAATAATGAAACAGATAATTTAATTTATAATTAGTAAGTATATTTTGTGCTAAGAGATGAAGAGACAGTGGCTGCTGTGCCAAGCATTGCAAGGCCATTATCCCACTGCTCATTAGTGTTAAAGTTGGCTCAACAAGCACCTGCTTAGCTATAGTCACTAAAACCGTGTTGGGCTGGATGCCGACCATGCTGGAAGTGCATCACAATCACGAAGTTCATTCTTACGGTGTGTCAAGTGCAGAGGGCAGGAATGGGGTGTGCTTCCCTTAGAAGACATGGAGCCCGCAATGGGTTTGCCATTCAACCCCATTCATATGGGGCTGCTTGGCTCCCTTCCAAAATACCAGGGGAAGAGCAGCTGTTAAGAGGTTTTTGCCAAGGTCTGATATCAAAGAGTCAAAAGATAACAAGTGCTGACGAGGATGTGGAGAAAAGGGAACCCTTGTGCACTGTTGGTGGGAATCTAAATTAATACAGCCACTGTGCAAAACAGTATGGAGGTCCTTCAAAAAAATTAAAAATAGAACTACCATGTGATCCAGCAATCCCACTTCTGGGTATAAATCCAAAGAAATAAAATCACTATCTTGAAGAGATGTCTGCACTCCTATGTTCATTGTAGCATTATTCACAATAGCCAAGATTTGGAAACAACCGAAATGTTTATTGACATATGACTAGATAGAGAAAATGCGACATACATACATATATACACACACATACATACACACAATGGAATAATATTCATTTGTAAAAAAAAAAAAAAAAAAAAAGGAAATCTTGCTGTTTGCAGCATCATGTGTAAACTTGGAGGACATTATGCTAAGTGAAAAAAAAGCCAGACGTAGAAAGACAAATATTGTATAATCTCATGTAGCAATGTGAGATCATCTATGTAGCATCTAAAAAGAAGTAAACTCATCTAAACAGAGAGAGTGCAATGGTTGGGTACCACAGGAGTGGGGGGTAGGGCAAAAGGGGAAATAACTTTCAGTTATAAGATGAATAAGGTCTGGAAGCCTCATGTACAGCATGCTGACTGTAGTTAATAGTGTGTTTATATACTTGAAATTTGCTAAGAGAGTAGGTCTCAATTGTTCTCACCACACACACAAAATAACTATGAGAGGTGATCAATATGTTAATTGGTTTGATTGTGGTAATCACTTCATAGTTTCTGCATATATCAAAATAACATTGTATACCTTAAATAGACACAATTTTAATTTGTCAAAAATAAATATTAAAAACTAGAGGGAAAAGAGGTTATTGCCAAGGCTCCACCACCTTTCTTTGGGCTTTTTCCCATGTCCTTTCATGGGGAAGGGTTCTTGCAGAGAATAGCTACAGGGTAGGGGTAAATATGGCCCCTTCAGGTGGACCGTATGCTTCCTTAGGTATAAATGTATTTCAGACTTCTGCTCACTCTCTAGCCTTGTCTTTTGCGCTCGCTCTCTCTCTCTCTCTCTCTCTCTCTCTCTCTCCCTCTCCTTCCTTTTCTCTCTCTCTCTCTCTCT